GTATATGCGTGTATTACTTGAGTGTATTAATATTTTAATATCGTTTTCGATTTTTCGATAAACTGGTTCCCCCCTTTGTCTATCTGGGCCACTAAAGTTTAAAAATAAAAGTGCCTTTTAATATTTACTTATCTTACATTTTATTTTATTTACTAACTACTTACTTAAAAGCCTTGCAAGAAAACATACAGCTATATCCCAGCAAGTAAATACAAGACTCAAAGTTACCAAATAATCATCTGTAAAATGTTTTAATTTATCAACTTATTAATAATTTATAACATCCAGATAAGTTAACAAAAATTGAGATATCGGACATCTAACAGGAATTCTTTTGTATATATTCACACATAGTACATCTATACCTCTTATATATGTATGTACACATTCATACAATTCAAAAGCTGCATTTGATTTGGACGCTAACGCGCTAGCGCTTATTATATATTTGATCATTTTGCCTTTATTGTTCATTAGCCCACTTTAGACAATCTACAATTCGCAATCAAATTGGGAATAGAATTCTATTTATAATTTTGCATGTCGTGTAACGTAGAAAACATTGGAAGAAATAAAATATGCACATATAGAAGATATATATCGCTATATATTTTCTATATATTTCGTCCAATGTTTTCTATGTTACACGACATGCAAAATTATAAATAGAATTCTATTTCAAATTTTGTCCCGAATTATAGATTGTCTAAAATATGCTTAGGCCATAGAACATAATAAAACAAGAATGGAAACGCTGACATCATCAGTATATAGTACATGTGCCACGTCACTAGGATCGCGGCAATCCTATTTCCCCTAGAGACCCTCTAATCAGAGTCGCAACATGAGGAACAGAGACTCTAGTTAGAGACTCTCTTTACGGTCTCTTTATATTAAGAGTCTCTAGTTTCAGCAAAATCACAAGAAAGAGAGAGGAATACGTCGTGTCTCTTTCTAATCTTCATAGTTCTCGTGTGAGTCGTGATCTCATACGTCTTTCTATAGTACGATTTTTAGAATATTATTAAAAATTATTGCAAAATGGTTGGGTGTGCAGCCCCATTTTGCAATAATTCTGTAGCCAAAGGCTACATTATGAAAATATTTCCGCGTGATGTGGAATGTCGAGCATTATAGGTGATAAATGTCGGAAAAAATTGGACACCAACGAAAAATGCATATCTGCGAGGTTAAATAACTTTTTAAAGTTCTATTTATTTTCTATATGTCAATTATGATTATTTAATAAGTTAAT